CGCGACGAATGTTCTGGAATTGTTAGTAGCGGCCTCAAAAAAATTGTGAAAGTCACAAGCCGTTTTATAGATATCCAACGACCTTTTTGATTCATACCTAGGAGTTCTGTTTGGTAATTTTTTTCTCCCACATACTTTCAGTCCAGGTACCATAACTTAATTATACTCTTGCAACATGTTAACAGGGTACAATAGTTTTGTTCACATAACGGTTGTACGTACCAAGCGAGGTTGATATAGGATCTACATATTGACGAGATTGGCGAGACGAGCTAAAATGCGGGTTAAAATTAAGATATATTGATGAAACTTGATATGCGCGATCCTTTTCAAAAAAACAAAAAAAAAATACGAGTTCCTAGATGGTGGGGAATAAAATTGGGTGAAATCTCGCCCTAGACCCCATTTAACTAACAAGCTTTATGTACCTGAAGGTGCTTTCCAATTTCTTTTTCTTTCTGATTTATTTATTTTTTTTTTAACAAATTCGCTTTATGAGCAGCGGTTTATATGAATGTGTGTGCGTCTGTCTATAATGTGTATTTTATTATAATTTGTCATCTGCGTCAATGCGAAGCTCATTTGCAATACTCATTTTTTTTTGTCAGATACATTTTTTTGTTTAGGCGCAGCGACACACGCACACACGTATATACATATACATACACGCATCATTAAAAAATCTATATATATTATATATTTGCATACAAAAATGTTAATCGGATACGCCACATACGCGCACACTTGGCATCTATTGTCCCGCGTGACTGTATGTCGGACTACTCCAGTTCGAATTCCAAGGAGCGGGTTTTCCCCGATTCACCAAGAAAAAATTTTAATTAATCGACACTTTTTTTTAGCCGAAAACAGAAAAATCGCTTCTACTAAAACAATTCCCACTGGTCAAGCCACTTATTAATATTAGCATTTCTGCTGTTGTTGTTGTTTTCATGAGTTTTGTTGCTAATAAAAATAATACACCTGAGTATTTATGCGGATTAATGGGCGCCCTTGTGTCCATGTGACCGAACGTGTTCGCTTTTATTCGTATTTACATTTGTAGTATGTTGGTATGCTTGCATGTGTGCGTATATGTGTGTGTGTGCTTGTTGGTGCATCACTGCCACATTATACGAATTTTTATTGCTCCGCAGACTTGTTCGCGCACATTTTTTCTTCTATTCGTTACACTCGCGCTGTCAGCTCATCAATTTCAATAAAACGACAACAACAACAAGAACAACAATAACATTAACAACAAATTATACACCTGATGGCGCTTATCCGTTATCTGCTTTATGCGCTAGTTGTTATTGCTATTGTTGTTGTTTGATCATAACTTTGCAAACTAGTTTGAGTGCCAACTGTGGTCTAAGCTGCCTTAAATACCTGAAAACGAATCGAAGTAATCGGTTTTTTTTACACATTTAATTATCATTGCTCCATCTACTTATTCTTTGTATGAGAAAGCGCGTTGTGATTAATTTGAGCCAACGCTTAAGCTCACACGTGTGTCGAATAAATCTTCGGCGCTGCGAACGCTTCGGTCGCAGTACAATTAAATCGAAAAAAAACCGTAGTTACTAAGGTATATTTGTATATCTATGTATTTATGTATATGTATAATATATGTCTTCTGCTGGAAACTTGTTTGAAATGATCTTGACGTGTCACGATTTAATTATCTAATTTTTTATTGTTTTGTATTTTTTTTTTTTTTTGTGTTTTTGTCTTCCAAGAACGTCGCGTAGCCATTTCTACCTGTTCGGTTCGGTAATTTCCATAGACGTAATACATTTTTAACTACGATTGAATAATAAATTGCTGTAAGACGTGAGTTCGTCATTGACTTTCTGCTGCTTTCGGAAAGAGCAATATTGATGAGCAAATAAAGAGGAGCTTCTTATTTTGATGCCACTCTATTAGCTGCTAGATTTCTGCTTACTAAATCTTAAATTCAAATTTCTTGTCCCTTGTTAAATTTATTGAAATCTTCATATTCTCACTCTACTCTACTCCAATCGAGGCTTCATCTACTTACTAATGTGTGGTAAAACTCTTCTTGCTGTGAATATTTCAAAAAGAGGTGATCGCCAAATTCTTTGTCGCCACCAGTTGTTATTGCGTTAAAGACTTTCAGCGCTGAATAATTCTTTTTCCATCCTTGCGTTCGAAACAAAATTCTTCACCAATGTAGCTCCTCGTTTTATTTACTGTGCTACTATATCCTAAGGCCCGTGAACTGTTCGTAGAATCTCTTTCTAGGGCATCCCATCATCATGTCATCATCTAGTATGTCAGAATCTGAAACTGCCAGCATAGACGTACATATCTACAATAAATTTATAAACATATAGCTCTTTTTAGTAAGAGTATTTTAAAGTTAGATTTCGGTGCTTTTGATGATCTGTATGAAGTGAACCAAAAAAGTTCGGCTTTACTGTGATTATATTGCGTTTCTTCTATGCTTACTACACTATTCTATATTTAAATTTCTTTAGTTGGAAACTATATTATAACTTTTGTGCTCTTTTAGAAAATATAATTTCTGATGTTTTTTGGCCTTGTTGGTTAATAATTGGTGTTATGTTAATACAGTAAACTGCAGTTTGTTTATTATGTTTATTACTTACCCTATATACTAACCTTCATCCAAAAGACTCTTTCCAGCGGACTCAACACACTTTGAACTTTATACTGCTTCATCGTTTTTCTTTAAAATCGTATATCAAATCGAAGATTTTCTAATTGGGCTTATATGAGTTGAAGCTTTATTTTACAGCGAATGCTGTACTAATAGAGTTGATGTCTATTTAAAATACTGTGAAAATAATAACTTCATAAACTACACTACTTAGATTCTACTCAATACTATAATTCCCCGAATTAGATTCTACTTAAGCCTATAATTCCACAGTAGAGATCCAATCATAATCTCTTGAAATTCAATATTCCCTCTGTGTTCAGCACCCTACTTTAGATTAGCGAATACTGAGAGTTATAATTTATTCAATTTCTCAAAGAGATTATACCCTTACTCGCTATTTGCCCACCTTCTTGACTAAGCATAAAGTGTGAGTTGGACAAAGACTTTATTGAACGGCATAATTTGCTCCTGCCTGCCTGATGTTTGCAGGTTTCCAGTTGTTATCATTTTTAAGCTCCCGCTCTGAGATAAAATCCATATTTAACCATTTTATAAGTAAAACCCAAATTTTGTTTCGAAATGAGTGTCTCCTATTATATCCTTATGCCTTCGCCTACAAACTTATGAAAAGTGACGTTACGTTATTTTGTATTTTAAGTGACGAAATGTTTATCTATGTGAGTCCCACAGCAATTATAGTATTTCACCAACCAAATGCTAAAAGGAGACATGTAGTGTTCTGGAGATAATTTTTTAAGAAAAAAAAATTAAATGGGAATATGATTTCTTTTTAATTTCGAAAACAACATTCTAGTTGAGCTGGAATTCCACTTGATGAAATTTTCACGAAAAAATTATTAAATTTTTTTAATTTACAAGTTAAGCATTTTTTATAGTTTAGCTGCACTTTTAATAAATTAAAAATATTAAAAAAAAAACTTACCTATATTTCTTAAAAAATTATTTTTTCCAAAGTTTTCGCCTTTGTTGAAATGAAACTAAAGATTTAGTAATTGTTTCAAATTATTTTATTTGCTTTCATGATTATATTCTCTTGCTACTGTTTGCATTTATTAATTTCATTAACTTATATTGCTGAGATAAAGTAAATAACTAAGCCTTTTTGAAGGAACTATTTTTAAAGCTTGAAGAACTACAGTTATTTTTTATATTTTACAACTTAGCGAAACATTTTATGACTGATTTGTATGTTAAAAGAATTGTGCATGTAATAATAATGTGTTATTAATAAAAAGATGAAACTTATAATGATAATAATAAAAACTACTACTATTTATGCTAATGTTGGTGAAAGTGTAGAAAACAGTAATAGTTGCATGTTGCATGAATATAGAGAATTTTATTTGTTGCTCGAAATGCGGTCGAGGAGGGAAATTTGAAAAATAAAATTGAACAAAATTTTCTATTTTTTGGATTAAAAAATTTGAAAATAAAATTTAAAAAAAATATATTAATTTTTGAACTGTGAAATTTGAAAAAAAAAACAAGTTTTGAAATTGTGAAATTTCCAGAAAAATTTAAAAAAAAACTCATCTATTTTTGGATTGTGCAGCTTGAAGAAAAATATGTCTATTTTTCGGAGATGGTCTTAAAAATCAAAAATAATTTCTTAAGAGAAAATATTTTCTCCAATAACCATAAACTTTTATATAAAATTTAAACAATTATAGAAATGAAATGAAACGTTTTTGCTTCCGAGAAAAGTTTTTTGACTATTTTTAATTAATCCACCGCGCTTTAATTAATTTCTATGAAGATTTAGGCATTGAAAATTGCAAAAAAAAAAAATTGTAATTCAAATACAAAACTATTATACTCTATAGCAACATGTTGCTGGGGTATAATTATAAAATATAGTGCAAAAATAAAGTCCGTAAATAATTTGTACTGCACTCAAATTTTTTTTGCACATTTTTTTTAAGTTGTTTACTACATTTTTCTTGTTCCAACGCTGTTTAATTATATTTTTTTAGTACATACAATTATGAATAGTTGCTCAAAAAATTAATTTAAAAAATTATTTAAAAGCAGCCAAATAGTTTTTATCCGAGAAAAATAATGCTCTGAAAGATTATGTATTTTTTTGCCGCCAAATTATAAATTTCGTCGGCATTCAATTTTAAAATGAAAATTTAAGCACTTGAAAATTATTATTTTGCATATGATCTAAATATTATGAAAAAAATATAGTGACAACAAACTATAAAATTTTTTAATTTTTCAAACAAAATTTCTGTAATTATTATATTTTAAATAATTTCAAGTTTTCGAGACTTTTGAAAAAAAAAATATATATTTAGTTTTTAAAAAAAAATATTTTTTTTTAATTTCTAAGATTTTTTTTTGAAATATAAATGAATTACACGCCGCTTAGAGTTTTCTGACCACAATTTTGTCGGGCAAATAAACAAAATATATTTATTTCTATTTTTCGAGAGTTTTGCAGGCTTTCGGGCGAGTTGTATAGCAAAGTGCATGCAAATTTTGCTGTCTACTACTTTGAAAAGTAAAATATATTATTGTGAAAACTAAAAATATTGTATTGAAAAGTAAAAATTTTATATTGAAATTTAAAACGGCTCTCATTATTCCATTGCAGCTAACACAAATGTTTTTTCAAAACATGAATTTTTATCGCATTTCCATAGGCCTGGTTCGCCTTTAAGCACTTTCCTGCGAAATTTTCTGAACTCCAAGTACAGTTTGACTTCATACTCGCCTTAAAAATACACTCCAGTTTACTTGCACTAAAAACTAATTGCCCTGATGCCAGTCCAAATTTTTTGGTGAAAAGAAAAAAATGTGATTTTTGTTTTTTCAAATTAATAGTCAATTTTTTCTTCATTTTATTCGACCAACTTAAATGTCTATAACAGTCTTTAACAACAAAAATTTTATACAATTCATACGATTATTAGTTTTTTCATTTTTTCCACACATATTCATATACATGTATCAGTATATGTGCATGTGTTTATATTCATTTTTACATGCTTTACATTAAGGTTTCTGCTTAAATTATAGGATACAGCTGCTTAACTAAATAAATTACAGATTTTCACATATTTTTTAAAACAATATTTCCGCCAAACTAACGAAAATGGGTAACACACACACATGCCGGTGTATGTGTGTGTGTGTGTGCTATACAACCTATAGACTACGCTTAGAACTAGCATTCTTCTGCTGCTGCGACACGCCAAATCAACAACTCACCGTTTCGCCGCTGGGCAATTGTTGGTGTTGTTGTTGTTGCTGTTGCGTTTGCTGCTGCTGAGATTGCTGCTGTTGTTGCTGTGCTTGCTGTTGCAACATCTGTGCCTCCCACTGTTGCTGTTGCAGCTGCAGTTGTTGTTGCATATGCAACGCCATTGTGGTGTGGGCAGCAGCAGCTGTCATATTTGTGCCGGGCAGGATGGTGTTCGGTGCTTGACGATCAGCCAACGGCTGTCTCAAGGCAGGACTAGATGTGGCGGAATTTAGTGCGCTGATTTGTTGTTGCTGTTGCAGTGAGGCGCTGCTATAACTGCTGTCGGCGCCTGATAGGCGTTCAGCCAAACGCTGTTCATTCTCTTCACTATTCATGCTCGTGTTGTTTGCCGAATCGTCGGACATATTTAGCGCGCTGGCCGCATCGAAATTGGCAATCTCGGGATGTGCCTCCAGCTCGGTTTGCAGATCGCAAATGTAGTCGATGACGTGCTGGATGATCTCCAGCTTGGAGAGTTTGCGATTTTTCGGCATAAACGGTACGAGATCCTTCAGTTTGGAGAGGTACATTTTCATTTCGGCATTTTCGCCGTCGCCGCGTTGTGGCGCATGGCGTGCGATGCGTCCGTTCGGATTCATGGGTGGCATGGAGGCACCTGTTTGACAGACGGCGGTGAGAGATTTCATTTTTGAAATGACTGCTTTACGTTCTTTGAGTAGAATTTTGGCGGTTGGTTGGGCGACGGTCGTCGTTGGCGGCCGTGTGCGAGGTTTAGACGAAAGAAGTTTTTTTTGGTGAAATTTCTGATTCACAGAAATTTTTTTTTTGTTATTTGTTTTCTGAGGGGCTTACAGCGTTTTTTATGTGGATTTTTTATGGGACCACACACTTTCTTTTATTTGTTTGAATATTTTCACAGATTTTACAATCACTTTGTGAAACTGTTGTAGCTTTTTGTTTCTCAATTTTATTTTTATCAATTGGTGTAACGCGTACGTTTGCTTGTGATCGCCCGTAATCCGTATAGACGTGGCGCGTTCGATTCGCAGTTGGCACAAACACACACTCGAAATTTTTTCAATTGTTTTCTAAGTAGCACTGAGATTTTTTTTTTTAGGTGTCTCTTTTTGAACTTAGCGATTTTAAACTTTTTTTACTTTGCCGTTAATTGCTTTGCGCACTTTTAACTGCTACCTTACGCTTTGAGCAACACACTCGTTATGGTTATTCACGCTCTGAGCACGGCTATTTATACGCGCCGCGCTGTAAACTCCGCCTTTTGTGAGGCGCCTCAACACTCGCGCTCGCCATGCTCAGCGCTGTACCAGCAGTGAATTGGAGATGTACGCAGAGCAGCGTGTGAACAAGAGCGCCTTGGAGACCCGTTGCCGGTTGGTCAATGGTTGGTGCAGTATGGCAGCAGTGGTGCTTGCAGTGAGCGCGCACCTTCCGCGGCAGGGAGCGTGTGCATTTGGTGGTCTTGTAGAATCCAGCTTATCCGCAAATTGTTAGTGAGCGCGTTTGTAGAGATTTGCTGTTGTGAAATGGGGAAATGCACTTTAGGCGCTTATGTATGGTTAACAGCAGTGGTTCTGCTTGAGCCGGTATTAAATAAACAGCACGTTTATTGATGAAAATATGTTAAGAAGTGGCGCTTGTACTACTGGAGAGCTCGATTCTGTAGGCAATGTAGTTATCGGGGTAATGAAATGTTGGAGTGCGAGAAATGATGCTAACACATGCAATAGTTGAGGAATTTTTTGAAGAACATCTCGAAATGTTAAAAGCAAAAACGCATTTTAAAATTGCTCCATGTGTAGGAGACAAAAAATATTCTAGGTGGTCTAAATTTATATTTAATGATATTTTTTTTTAAATATTTTTTATTTTTTTAACAGACCCTACACTTTCATTACATTTTTAAGCACATTTTTAGCCGAAGGTGTCGTCAATAATTGGTCTAGGCGAAATACAAACGTCATTAAAATTTCCATTCAAGCCTATGTATGTAATTAAATACAGAAACCGTGCATTCAAACTATTTTGTCTTCCTTACATATTCTCCGAAAGATACAAAATTATAGAAATTCTGTGAATTTTACCACATTTCTCCTTCTTCTTTTAATTTTTCATTTCCGCATTTTGCAATTTTGAAAACCGTTCGAGTGTAAGCCCCTATAAAGATTTTTAAAACTTTAGAAAAACTGTGTAAAATATGAGAATGATGAGCCAATCCAAGTCCTGCTAAGTCTTAACAGCTCTACAACATACTTTTAGAGCTTAAATTGATGTCATAAAGTGAGCGCTTCCTTAATTCTATCATTACAGTTATACATTTCGCCAAACTACCTAAAAATGTCTACAGCATTTCCATAACAGTACTTTAATAACTTCTTAATACTCCTTCTGCTAACTACTATAAAGTTTATCAGCAACAAAAATTCACAAAATTTCTCATTTCTGATAGTACCATTACAGGTTACCATTTTACCTAAAAATATCTACAGCCCTCTTACTCCTTCTGTTTACTTAGCATCAAAAATGTTATGTTAATGCCGCTAAACACTTACTCCTTATCTAATTGTACTTTCAGTACCTTGCTTCAATTCTGTTCTTAATGAAAATGCTAACCCCAGCTAGTACTCCTGTTACAGATCCACCAACATTCCATACCTGTAACTTAACGTTCCATGCTACCAATAACATTTTACCCCTCCTTTAAGTATGTTATTAGCGCACTATAGATAGATACATAACTGAGGAATGCACAGCGACCATATGTAGCGCACTATTAAATCGCTATTAAATAAAATCGCTTTTAAAAATGTCTACAACTTTTCTCCTTGTATAAAATGTTGAGTTCTCTACACCACAGTAATATCGTTCAACATTTGTATGTAAACTGCAACATATTACCCCTTCACTAAGCACAACTTTATTGCACTAATAGATACATTAAGTAACAAACTGTTGAAAAGAAGAACTCTACAACATAAGCTGCTCCTTCAATACTCTGTTAAAATCTCTCTGGCATAACAGCTGTGTGTTAAATGACTGCTAACTTGAATATTCCTTTATGTGCAGTTAGTAAGTGTCGAGATTATATTCTGATACTGTTTAAAATTATACAGACAATGTCTACAAACTGCTAAGAAATCTTTCTTTTCCTCCTTTAATTAATTGCCATACATTTTAACCGACTATGTTAATTACAGTGTATTACTCGTCCTCTATATTAGTATCTATTAAATTATAAATCTTCATTTAACACTATTTGGTATGTATTCGATGCAAGAATTTCAAATAAAAAAAAATATGCAAAATAACTACAGTTACATATATACAATCTACAGATGAGTATAAAAATTCATATTCATCTGGTTTATACCACCTTCATGGTGTATCTCAAGCATGTACTCTAACAGCATACCCCCAAAGTAAGTCTTCAATCTCCACTTATTGAAAACTTAAAAACCCTCCGAACATTTTCTCCTGTTTCGCTCAAATCTCCATAAATGATTCAGGAGCTACTCCTTCCATAATACATTCCCTAAATCTTAAACCTCTTTTATTGACAGCATAACTGCTACCCCTTCGCCAAAAAAATGCAATGTTAACAGTAGCATTCATACCTCTCCACTTTAGTTGCATTGCCGTTGCATTATGAGCAGTCTCCGCACTGTCAACAAGTCTACAATGCGCTCATTTAAAAGTTCTTCGCTCAGCTCTCAAAAACTGCTCTGCTATTAACTATTATGGTGCTAAACGCATTCTCATGCCACTCCGTATACTCTCATAATCCAATTTTTGCTGACCTGCGCTCACTCTCCTCGTACTCTGACTGTGGTAACTGCACTGTGATTGGTCGGCTTTGATTTTTCGGCCATGCGATTCCTTGCCGTCTTGCGACGCATTTCTTTTGTAGAGTAGCAATAATATATTTTTGATTTATTTTTGAGCATGAAATTGTGGCCTCACTGCGCTCATGCATAGTAAGCAATTAATTTATTGAGCGTAGTAATTAGTTAGCTGCACTCTACAGTAGTATTAAGGGGAAATGAGAAAGTATATCTCAGACACTCTCTCCCGCTCACTATCGCGTGCTGCCTCACAGCTGTGTTTAACATTTCGATTTTGTGAATGAAATTTCCGTTTATCAAGCATTTCTAATGCCGAGTCATTTGTGCTTAGCACCGCATTGTTTTTAGTTCATTATTTTCGATTTTTCGATTTCTTTTGTATACTTTATACAATGGGGTTTTAAAGTTCATCAAAACGTTGACCACTTGCTGACTACTGCTTAGGCTTTGTGACTTTGTCAGCCATGTCATCAGCACTTCAAAATCCCAGCCATTCAATAAACGGCGGATTTTTATGCTTTCAGAACAAATAATGGGTTAAAATATACTGTGTCCATTTATATTCAGAAATAATATTATATTGTCATAGGAAGTATAGAAGTGTGGTCATTCATGGATCTCAAGACATTTTTCTAAATGAAAAAATATTATAATATTTTTTTCTTAACTATTGCTGTATACATAGATGTAGAAAAGGCAAGATTTCAGTGAACTGTCAGCTTTCATGTTCATCTACTATATTACTGTATATATACATACATAGTATGGAATATACATATGCATGTTTGTCGATTTTTTAATATATTTTTTCTTATTGTCGTTCAGTTTTTTCATATTTATTTATTGCTTGGCCATTCTGGGAATATGACACTTTCTAGCTTTTGAATAAATATCTGCCGCTTTTGCCTCCGATATTTATTTATTTTATTTTTATATATAGTAAGTATATTATGTGCATACAAGCATACATATTTGTTGTTTTTTATTTCTTAATGCCTGTATACAATTATGAATGAGCTTTGTTATGGAAAATATTTTTGCTGAGCTTGTCTTTTCTATCAAATATTTATATGTGAAGCAGTAATTCAATAATTAAAATAAAAGTAGTCGCGTTTTAAATGCAAATTTGATTGAATAACAAATTTGTACACATATATGTATGTATGTATATTGTATATTGTGCTTTGGAGTGTAATAAAAAAAATCGAAACAGTTTAAATGAAAAAAATGTTAGTGAGAATATAACATTCATTATGCTACGAAATCGCCGATGTATTACTATCAAATTTGGTCTCACCTAGTCTTAGCCTTATTACTACATTCTGCTTTATGTACGAGATGTTCATACCAAAATCAACCTATTTAGCTAAAGGAATATATGTATGTGTATCATTATATCAGGCAAATGAGGTTTACACCAAGGTATACAAGGTGCGTTCCAAAGTAAACAGGACCTTTTGAATCTAGCGCCCCCTTTTGGCGCCATCTATTTATATGTCGAACCTGCCATCTATATCGATTGTCCAGTGATAATTGCATGACATTTCATTGATTGGAAGTGAAGTTATTGCGTTTTAAGTGTCAGTATGTTTGTGTTATCGGTGCGAAAATGAGCTTCGAGAGTCAACATTAAATTTTGTTGGTAAAACTTTTACCGAAACGTTTCAATTGATGAAAAAACTGTATGGCGATTATTTCCTATCTAGCAGCAGAGTGCACAAATGGTTTCAACGTTTTCAAAGTGATCGTGCGGACATAAATGACGATCAACATGTGGGCCAATCAAAATCAGTGATCACCGGAAATTCCATCGAAACTGTGCTTGAATTCATCAAAAATCAGCCGAAATCATCATTGAAATTCATGGAAATGGAACTGAGCATCTCCAAAACATCGATTTATCGCATTTTGACCGAACATTTGGGCTTATGAAAGGTGTGTACCCGAAATTGACAGACGATTTGCTCAGAATCCAACATTCGAAGGACGATTATTTGACCAAAAATGACATTTTAACCATTAACCATTCCCCGTATTCACCTGATATGGCACCGTGTGACTTCTTCCTTTTCGGTAAAATGCATTTGCCCATGAAAGGAAATATACGTTATGCAGACGTAGAGGCCATTCAAAAGGCTTGCACCGGCATACTGACGGCCATACCGGCCAAGGAGCTAAAGCACTCCTTCGACATGCTTTTGAACCCTGAAGGAGAATATTTTAAATAAAATAAATGGATTCTGCCGAAAACCATTTGTTCTGTTTTTTTTTTAATCCTGTTTACTTTGTACATCAATTTCATTCATTTTAAGCATAATATCATGCCACGAATTCTGACTAATAAAAGTGTTTCTTGACTTATTGGTTCTAATATA